AATCTCTTTATCATTTCCTCTCCCTCATGTAATTCCAAACATGTATGCTCATACAAATAAATCATACAATGGAACTCAGTCGGCACCAAAAACTATTTGGTTACTAACACTATTCAAAATATGTTTGGTTTTGTTCCGCAGAAGAAAATTTTCATTTAGGTTTGGAAGTTAATGACAGGATTTTCATTTAGGTTAACTGTCACAACTGAATATTATGAACTTATTAAATGTTTATTTGCAGATAGGAAAAGAGGAATATTGGGCATTTTTTGCCCTGATAAACTTAACACTGATCAGCATCAGCACTACCCAGATAATATTTCTGCATGCATGCAAGCATACATTATATATTCATGATCATTAAGCTCAGAATCTTTTTTTAGAACCCCAAACCCACATCCTGTGTAAATTAGGTTTGCAATGCATGCAAGACATGACAGTACAGCATTTGTCTGGTGTTCATCTGTGCAATGTGATGCAGATTCTCCTTCAGGCTGAAGGCACGTCCAGCTTCACCAGCAGAAGAGATTTACTCACTGACCACTACCACATCAGCTCTAACACATGACCATACCCTCACTCTCATCACAATTACACCTTCATTCCTCACCTTGCTTGTTTTCGGTCAGCTGTCTCTCAAACTCGTCAAAATCTGACATTTTCCAGCAGCTCCAACACGCCGACTGAGAGTGAGGCGGGCTAGCTAGCAGCTAGCTATTCAGTGGCTGCGATTATCTCACAAACAACAAATAAAGTTCACACCAAGCGTGAAGCAATTAAGAAACTACAGTTTTTGTAAGGGAACAAATGCGACCCTGAGAAAGCAAAGCGCAGCTTAATGAGTCGCGCTGATGTCTTCCAGAAGCGCTCAGTGCATACAAAGACTAGCATGAGGAAAACCTGCTTTCAAAGAGAGCGAGAGTAAACACACATGCACCGGATGATGTACTGGAATAAACGACTGCTCTGCTCTTGGAAGAGCCCGTGCATTCCCCAAAACTACAGAAATACGTTAAATACAGCCTATATTTTCCACAAAATCTCTGTGAAACGCCAAGGCCGCGAGAGCGCGCCCACTAAGGTCAGTGGCCACTCCCAAACACTTCCGGGTCAACTTCACACTTTTAAGCCACTGAAATATATAGCTTATAAAGGGTATCTATTACTGCTGCTGATTTCAGGATTGTGTATGTGCATTTAAAATCATAACATGTAAGTACACATATTCAGCACAAACAAAAACTGAATAAACTAGACTGTATTGTTTTGTATCTGACTTGCGCCACCTAATGGGTGATCTGCTAACAGGCAGTGAGCAGCGGTGGGGATTTAAGATTCAGCCTAGAGACTCGGATCTTTTGAATCTGTTGTTGTTATCCGGTGATCCTCTCTGTAGGTTACATCGTCGCACCAGAGAGTGCTGACTAGAGTATTTTTGTGTGTTATTAGGGTTATGGGTGAACCAGTGAATCATTTACTCAACTGAAGCATCATTCATTTAGTTCGTTCACAAACGAGATGACTCAGAACACTGACTCGTTCGTCGATGGGGGCGTATTCGTCCAGCAGGTCCAACCAATGAAGTGTTCCTACACATCCCTTACTCGAATCCTATTGGCTCTTGATTTAATCCGTCTTTGAACGCAGCGATTGAGAATGATTTGTTCATTTAAAAGATTCATTCAAAATCATGTCCGAGACGCCGCTAGTGGGCTCTTATCTGGAGGTTTGTTTAATGTTACAGCGAGCGAATTGTGCTGCATTGTTGTAATAAGCAAGGAAATATATATTTCAAGGGCACACGTAGATATTAACCTATACATTTGTGCCGTAACGAGTCCTTTTTTCTGCATTTTATGTGCTACTGCCTTTTATGATTCTGTTGGTGTTGTACTTGGCTTACTCATTACCATATAAACCTCACTAGAGTTTCAACAACAGTTTTACCAATAAGAGCAGTGGGTGGACACTTATATAAAGCACATACACCCGGGTAACGGTGACCTGGTTTGTCTACACTTGATCTTTGCGGTCTGCGACTCCCCCATATTGCTCTCTGCAAACAGTAAGTACAGCTCGTTGTCTCTGAATGCCATTGAACTCTTTATCAGCGCAGTATGAGTTGCAATATGTATAAGTGTAAAGGATTCAACGCGTTATTAATATGCAGGGCATTAGGAGCACTGCTTGCGTACTTTCACTTTTGTTGTTGCAAGGGCCGGTGGCTCAAAACCCAATGACAGTGTTTATAGACAACTTAGTATTCATTTTCATAAAATATTTTTCTTTTTAGGGATGCACGATATATCGGCCACCATATCGGTATCGGCTCATTTTTTCTGTTATCGGTATCGGCCTGATAAGAAAATTTGGCCGATATCTTAAAGCCGATAAATAATGCATTATTTCCTTCAGAGACACTTCAGATGCGCGCTGTTCGTTTGCAGCCTTTTGTGCAATTGTACATTGTAATATTATTTCTTTTAATTGCATTCAGATGGCACAGTCAGACACTAATACCAGTTTAGTCGAAATATGGAACACAGCGGTAGCTCTCAATCTTTTTGCTTCCATTGCTAATAAGATATGTACTTCTGTTGTAATAAAACAAAAATATTGTCAGTTTCATGTTGTACAAAGTTATTTTTAGTGTTTTATTATTTCAGTTAAGATTATATCAATATAACTAAATTGAAATAAATTTAAAACATATTGGGGCCCCCATGGAAGTTTTCCCAGGCCCCCTGAGAACCACTTTAAAGAACCACTTTATTACAGTGTATGCACAAAGACACGGTGATTCACGTGTGATATAATTGCTCTGTTTGTTTCTGCAGTGGCAAAAATTGGCAGGCTGTCCACCAAAGGCTCAGTTCTGCTACTGTGTGACATACAGGAGAAGTTCAGACCCACTATTTTCCAGTTCACAAACATCGTGAGCAATGCCGCAAGATTGCTACAGGTAAGATCAGCACCTTCAGTTTATCAAAACTGCTGCAGTTGTCATACAACGTACTATAGTCACCTATATATTAAATGCGCCGTCATCACTGCATCTTGTCAGCTGATTTTCTATGCATTGTCTCTATCCATTCTATCTAATTTTGAATTCGATTTTTGATTTATTAATTTGTCGGAATGGTAAGAAACTTGGTGAATTTTGTTGCATTTGTGATTTGATATGATTAGAAAAAGCGAAATGGAATTTTTAAAAAATAGTCTCGTGTGTTTTTTTTTGTTTTTTTTTAAACTACTGCCAAAGGAAATTAACTCAATCAGCTACAATGAAGTAGTCTTTGATAACATCTAAATATATTTAATACAAACTCTGATAAAAGCAAATCATTATTATCAAAAATATTATTGAAACAAAACATTGTACATTCATTCAATAAAAATGGTTTTACTCTTATTGTCTTAAGTCTGTTTTGACCTCTGAGGATCACGTGTGTTAAGTGAGGAATATCAGAATAATATCCAAGTCTTATTAATATCTTATTAAGTCTCATTAATATTGCATTCATATAATATTAATAATAACATATTAATTATGTTTCTGTTCCAGGCATGTAGAATCTTAAGCATCCCTCAGATTTTAACTGAGCAGTACCCTAAAGGTTTGGGCCCCACTGTTCCTGAGCTGGGGGCCGAGGGCTTGAAGCCTCATACAAAGACCAGTTTCTCCATGCTGACGGAGAGTGTGGAGAGCGCACTCAAGAGCCTGGGAGACCCTCAGCAAGTCATACTATGTGGCATCGAGGCTCAAGCGTGCATTGCGGTAACATCAAATGACCGTTCAAACTGGTGCCATGGCACTTTTACTATCTCTTGATCATGCCCTTTATTATATTGTATTGTATAACTTTATTGTCATACAATTTTAAAGCGTTAGGGTTCTTGTTCTGCTGTAGTGTACAACCTATGATCTTGTAGAGCGAGGCATGGAGGTTCATATTGTAGCAGATGCTGTCTCCTCTCGAAGGTATAGAAATCATTTTCTTTAAAATATACAAAATGGAAAACTATTGTGATATTTTATATTGATGTATCTTGGCGCTATGTGATAAATTATGTTGAAATCACTGCAAACACAAGACTTCTACATTCCTTATCTTGACCTACAGCCACATCTTTTCAAACACAAACTCAAGTCAATTGATGGATGGCATCTATAAGCTTTTTCTAAATGTCTATAGAAACAGGAGGAATTTTACAGTGTTTGCTTATATGTTTCTATAGACATTTTTCTAAATGTCTATAGAAACAGGAGGAATTTTACAGTGTTTGCTTACAGATATATGTTCATTTGTTGAGGCGGTTGTGTACAATCTGCTGTGTCCTATGAGCCAATTCTTAAGTGATTCTCAGGGTTTTCTATACATATCTGTCTGTTATTTTCAGTCAGACAGATCGTCTTTTTGCACTGTCACGACTGAAGCAGAGTGGGGCGTTTCTCACCACTACAGAGGGAGTTTTATTACAGCTAGTGCAGGATGCCAAGCACCCCAACTTTAAAGAGGTACCTGTCCACCTCTCTGTCAGCCATATTTTAATTCATCATCATCACATACTCACGGGACTCTAAATCCATCAGATTTTTTTCTTGTGTGTATTATGTCTGCATTTATTTATATATATATTTTATTTATTTCTTATTATTATTTTTTATATATATATTTATTCAAGAAATGTACAATTTAAATATATTCAGTTGAAGTTTCTTGAATTAAAAAATAAAAGAATTAAAATTTAGTATCTTTTCTATTTAAGAAATTTGAAATCTTAATGCATACTGAGGTGGTTGAGATTTTGTAGAACCAGCTTATTAATATGAACCATCTAAATGAATGGACTTCATCCATGAATGAACCATCTGAATGAATCATCTAAATGAATGGCAAAAATTATGTGCGTTATGTTGCTTAAAGGTTTGTTAATTTATGAATGCATCCAAATACTACAAAACTGCTGTACATCACTGTAGGGGAGATTTATTAAGTGTCTCTATCTGTGTTGTTCTCATGCAGACCTGGTAGAGAGCATGCGTCAGGCCGAGCTCTGTGACTGGGCGTTGGATTCGACGCTCTTCACCTCGCTATGTGATTCACTCAACCGATTCTTCACTCAGAAGGGTCTCATTAATTCATCTTCTGGTGGTCCCTCCTCTTTTGGACAAATGGCCCCACCTCCTATCAATATGCCGACCACTAACCTTCCCAGCCTGGCTAGTTTAACTCAACCATCTCCACTCATCTACTCCTCCCAACTCCCTCCTGGTACTGGTGAACCTCCCATCCAAAGTCCCAGGAGAATCCTGACCCCTCACACCCAGAACCAGACAGCACAGAGATCCCCGGGGCTGCAGCCCACCACAAGCCAGCCACTGACTCCTAACGGTATGTCGACAGCCCCCTTAAATCCTTACAGGTCCACTGTGCATCTAAACTTAAAGGGATAGTTCACCCAAAAATTAAAGTTTTGTCATGTGATTACCCACCCTAATGTAGTTTCAAACCATTCCATGACTTGCTTTCTGCTGTGGAACATAAAGAAGATGTTTTGGAGAAAGTTTGAACTGTTTTTACCCACACAATGAAAGTCAATCAGGTCTAAATGCTGTTTTGGACCCCATTGACTTTCATCGTATAGACAAAAAATACAGAGACATTTTTCAAAGTATATTCTGTAATGTTCTGCAGAAGAAAGATAATGATATTGGTTTGAAATGCCGTGAGGGTGAGTAAATGATGATAGATTTTTCATTTGTGTATGATCTATTTAAGTGCCCCTATTGTCACTCAGAAAGGAAATGAGTGTCGCCATGTTGGTCGAATTGCTCAAGCATCCTAATATGATGTCATTGTCTTTATGCAGCACTTCAAACTCAACCACTGTCCCCAACAGGACGTCCACACTTCAAGAAAGGCAACAGTGAGGAAATCCAGGATGATTTTGATTGGGATTCATTGATTGAATAATTTAGTTTTCCGATATACATATAAATACACAGTAAAGAAAACATGAGCTAATTATTGAGGCACGAGTCTGTCAAAAAGGAAGTCAGGCTAACCCATTCATCCCGTTTCATTTGTATGTGGAACAAGAGCAGCACCATTGTAACAATGATCATCATTCAGCTGTTTGTTTCCGTTCAGTTCACTTCTGCCTTATGATAGATACGGCACAATGGTGCTGCTATAGTCAACTGTATGTTGAAGTGCTGGAGACAAATGATAACCAACACTAAATTGTCAGGTTAACCAAAACGTACAATGCAAAATATTTATCAGGTTTTTTCCTGAACTGCTCCAGACCTTGAACGTTGGGGTGGATCAATCCACACCAGGCTACCTTTTACATCAGCGTATTACAATGTAAATAACGTTAGCATTTCCAAAGCTTTAGCCAGTTGACAATGGCTCGGTTTTTGTTGAACATTGATACAGGCTTTTTTTGACACTTTAGTCAGTTCAATAGTTATTGAAAAACCAATGAAATTATCTTAAATTGCATGTACACTAACAATTTGTGGTCGAATAAATGCAGTTTAACAGTACACTGAGGTATATTATGACAGTACATATGGGTGTACTTTGACTGAAATCAATTATGACATTTATTGCTTTATATTATTACACTTTGTCACATGGCAAATCCCCTTGGGGAGCTAATGGTAATGCTAAAATAATGTTCTGCATGTTAACATTAGTTAATGCATTAACTAAAAATAAGCAATACATTTGTTACAGTATTTATTTGTTAACATTAGTTAATAAAAATACAACTTTGTATTGTTAGTTCATGTTAGCTAAGGTCCATTATATAATATTAAGAGTTACAATTAAAATTCAAATGAACTAAGATTAATAAATGTTTATAAAAAGTATTTTTCATTGTTAGTTGATGTTAACCAATGCAGTTAACTGATGTTAACAAATGGAAACTTACTGTAAAATGTTACCACATTTCCTAATCTAGTTTAATTTTAATTTATGAATATATTCTTTTTCATTATTATTTCATGTTTGATCATAAAGCATTAACAATGTATATTTTAACATACAACTTCAATGTGTATTATATGTATAAATTAAAATTAATGTATACTTCATTGTTAGTTCACATTAACTTACATGTAAAGAGATATTAATGCATAAAACCTAACTGTAAAGCATTACCAAATGATTATATTCGGTACATTCATTAGTATACAATAATAAAACTTGCCGTGTCAGCCTCTTGATTATGCATATGGTGTTGAAATGTTATTTTCCTCACTGCAGCATTATCACATGTGTGCCAAGTGTGAAATCCACCAGGATGCAAAGAGGACCAAGAAAATCTGAATGGAAATTATTACAGAGGGTTCCCGCCTGGTGCGTCACTCCTCTCCTATTTCAGCAGAGAGACCGGAACTTACTCACCAGTAAAACACTACAAGTGCAGTCATGAGAGGAGGAGAGAACGAAAGGGAGGAGGAGAAACACACAGAGTTCTCAAATGTCAAATGAAGGGTGGAGTGTGTGACGTTCAACGCAGACAGAAAGGGAAGAACTTTTTCCGACAGATTTTTTCTTCTCCCAAACTGAAATTTCGTACAAAACGTGTTAACTTAGACGCTTCGGGTAGCGAATGAATGCAGCGATAAACATAAGACAAGAAAGAAGAAAGAAAAATAAGCATTTACTGAGATCCCTCAGATGCCTCTGTGCAACAGATGACAGCATTAAAAATTAACACAGTGTGAAGCCTGTGGCCTTGTGAGAGAACAGAGGTATGTTTTCACTCATCTTTTATACTTAAACACACATATTATTCTCTTATAGTAGGCTATTTTCGAAATAATAGGTCTAAAAGTGTATCCAACGTTTGATCCATACAGCGTGCAGTAACTCTTAATGCTTTTAAGTTTCTGTTTCTTTGTTAAACCATTACTTAATGAGTTTTAAATAGGATTGAGATTTCTATTGCAACATACTTGTAATTCATATTGTCTTGCAACTGCGTATGGCATTATTTAGTTGGTTTCACAGCTTAGCTGGACTGCACGGGTTAACACAGTTATTATTTGTTTTCTCTGCACCTCAGATATCCCCTTCAGCATGGCTTCTGAACTGGACTCTAGCTTGACCAGCATTGACTGGCTTCCTCAGCTTGGAATCAGCACTTTGCGATCAGGGAAAGAAAGAGTGGAACGAAAGAAAGAACGAGGAAAAGAGAAGGACTTCCCTCCCATACCTACACCGTCCCCTGGAACTAATTCCAAAGTGAAACCCCCTCACAGCTACGCCACTCTGATAGCCATGGCGATAAGTTCTGCTCCTGAAATGAAGATGAGTTTGAATGATATTTACACATGGATCAGCAACACATTTCCTTTTTACAGCAGAGCAGGAAGAGGATGGAAGGTAAAGGCCAGACCACTGCATGACTACTTCCTCGTGCTAAATAGTGCATTGAGGCATAGTTGTGTATGTAGCTGTGCTCGAACAAGCGCTGTGGTTTGAATTTACACCTTTATTGAAGTAATACTTTTAGAAAAAAATTATTGTGAAATATAAATGTAACTCAAAGCAATTATTTTGTATATTAGGGTCAATCACAAAGTTAGACAAAGTTATGTCATGACTGATACAACTTATCTGATACCATAATAAAGGAAAAAGCTTCATAAAAGGAATGAAGCTCTTGAAAAGAATATCTTAAGTATTTGGCATAATATGTTTTTAAATTAAATATTATATATATATATATATGTAT